TTAACCACGGTGGATTTTCAAATCTTAGCTTCTATAGATCAAGAGCAGTTTAAGGGCTTTAGTTATACTAACCCTAACATGACAGACTAGTCCGACCGCTGCAGCAAAGAAAATAATGATTTTGTTTAAAGAAGTCTTAAATATAATTTCTAAACAGTGATCTTTATATTCATGCTTTAGCTATGATTTTTTTAAAGGTTTTATACAAATTGAAAAAAGTGTGGGAAATATTTAATGCTATTGTAGGGATTCAAACCCGAATCGCAAGCTCCGAAACCCAAAGCTCTAGGACCGAGATCTCTTTCAAAGAGTGATGACGAGAGACTCTCTTGATTAATAGATCAAGGCCACAACTTAATGAAAGTGGCTACTCGACCATTTGTTTACTGATAGCAGTGTTGAAAGACAAGCTATCGTGTGATTTATTTCATTTAAGCACATTGGTTTCAATAATTTGTTAGTATAGCCGTTTAGATTAATTTCACCTGAAGTGGAAGTTTTAAGTTTTGTTGAAAAACTATAGGGCGTAATAATAACGTAATGTAAAGTTACTTGTCAGTTGTCTTCCTCAAATATTCTATTTTAAACTTTATGGTGAAATATAATTGTTTCTAACAATGTGACGTGCATGGGATCCAAATTCAAACTTTTCTCATTATTTTGAAATTGGTAAAAACTGAGGAAAAGTGGAAAGAAAATTCAAATAAAATAACAAGTTTCATGTGACTGTCTTTCACCTTATCAAATAATATATAAATGATACAGAAACACCCGAAAATTGGATTATTGCCGGGTTTTTGTTTAATAAACAATTTTCATTAATGTACATGTATATAAATTTGAATTATTAAGTTATTATGGACACAAATGTGATATCATGTAAGATACAAATAGTTGCAGAAAGGCATAGACACTGTTTTATTGCCTGATTTTTTTTTAATAAACGGTTTTAATGGTATGCATGTATATATATGAGAATGGTTAAGTTATTATGAAAACTAATGTGATATTATTATTATTATCTGTATCTATAACAGTTATTTCTTTATCAAGATTTAGGGTCACTTAACCCTCTATTGCACATTATAACGTACAGGTAACAAATCTATCTTTGTTGCTTAATACACATGCAAATGTTTTAATTCTATAGTTAAATATTCTTACTTCCAGGTAGCAGTCTAAATAAACCATGAAATTATTTTTGTTGGTTTATCAGTTGAACTTCTACGTAATGTACTTATTTATATCTTCCAAAATATATTTCATAAAACATATTTTTTATACACTGCAGACCTATTTAACAAATTAAAAGAACACTTTTTCTCACCATATTTTAATCATGCATAAATAGATGTTTAGATCGAATGAGCCGTACATGGCTATGTCGGACATAAGTGTTTTTCTTCATTATTCTAATGAAAGTTATTTAATGATAGGTTAATAGTGTTATTATTATAACTGCAGATCGAAAATATCAGAGAGTTTGATAAATGTCATTAATTTAGGTTCTTTAAGTGAATTATAAATAATGAGTTTTCGATCCTGATAATTTATATTACGTGAGTTCTACACGACCTTTAACAAACGAAGTCATGTAATTTTCACAAGTATTTTTATAAACCCTAAACAACTTTCGATAGTCAGTAAAAGGTTGATCTGTGACCCTTGTGGCATCAAGGTTATAGCAAATAAAAGGTTGACCTGTGACCCTTGTAACACCGTGTTTGTAGTAAGTAAAAGGTTGACCTGTGACATTATGTTTACACTCTGAATATCCAATTGTTGTGAGTTGTCTTTCTACGATGTACCAACCATATAAAAACTGTTTGTTCTCTCAGTGTTTTACCTTTGTACGCAGCTGAAGCATATAATTCTTCAAGTGTAGCACTATAAAGATCTATGTGCCCTTTAATTTAAGAAATGTTTTACTACTGGATAAGTGTAAATATTCCCGTGAATTTGTAACATCCAAAATTATAGTCACAATAAAATAATTCAGATTATCGCGAAGTCTGCACACATAAAATTATTATTGTATCAAACATTTACAATATATATGGGTTAATAAAAACCCATTGTGTTTGTCTTATGAAACCTTTGCCAACATTGGTTGCGCGTACTTTTATATTGTACAGTTTATGTTGTATGTATGAAATGTTCTTTATTATTTCAGCTGATTCAATAAAATGTTCTAAGCATTTAAGTCTCAATTTTTATTATTTTTCTTTGTCACGAGGAAAGTTTTTAAACACCAGTATGTTCTTTTTGTTAATGCGCCTTTTTATGAGTAGTTATTCACGATTTTCTAATATTAAAATAAAAGACAAAGGAACAATGGAGTCCTGAGAAGGGTTACGCGTGGTGGCGACAGTTCCTAGTATTCAGTCTACTGCTGTCTTCAAGGAAGTCCTGAGAAGGGTTACACATATATACAACCTATATCAACACATGGATATACGTCATATGCATATAAAACAGCATTACACTTACCAAAATGGCCGAATCTGTATACAGAGTGTCTGGGGAGTCCAGACTCCTGTTTGCCTCTCTTGTGCCCCTGATAGGATCTAGTAACATCTATTAGAAACATGCAAGAACATTTTGACAAATGTGAGGATAGATCTGGTAACCCTTACCTACTACAAATTAGTGTCAAGGTCACGCTTATCTTATTTACTTTGCTGATATGTTGTTTTTTGTGTGTGTGTTTTTTTTTTGTTTTTTTTTTTGCTCACGAGTGTTTCCGAACAATGGTGAAATTAGATAGAATATTTTCTCACAATAAGCATCTTTATTATATTTTTAAATTTTCCTTTTTTTAATTGTGTTTCAGTACTGTGATGAATTAGGGCTGGCATGGTTTGGTGATTAGGGTGCTCGACTCGCAATCTGCAGATCGAGGTTTCGAATCCCCGTCGCCGAACATTCAAGCACTTTCAGCTGTGGGGGGGAATTGAAATATGACGGTCAATCCCAATATTCGTTGTGTTAAAGTGAGACAGTCAGTTCCACTATTCGTTGATAAAAGAGTAGCCCAAGAGTTGACTACCTGCCTTTCCTCTAGTATTTCACAGCTAAATTAGGTACAGCTACCTGGAAAGGAAATGGGCGCCACCAGGTAATTCTGCCAAAGAATCACCAATGAAGCATCTACGGTGCCCAGTAATCGTAAGCGGCCTTAGGAGTAAATAATAATAATCATAGAGATTAGACGAATTATTACATTTTGTTTGAAATTTTAAAATTTCCTTCACCGAACATATAAAAAACATTGTCTGAGCTCACTTTGTATTCAGGTAGTCTAGACTAATTTTGGTTGTCACTGAGCCTTTGGAGTAAAATAACATTGGGCTCTTAACCACTGTTGTTAACTATGATGGAGTCCTCCAAAAGGCCGTCACACCAAACATGCTCGCTCTTTCAGAGGTGGGGGTGTTATAATGTGACGGTCAATCTCACTATTCGTTGGTAAAAGATTAGCCCAAGAGTTGGCGGGGAGTGGTGATGATTAGC